TGCTTTTTCCAGACTTTACGAACGATACGCTTGCCCGAATATAATAAGTCACGTCCTTCTACCGTGCCTAAAATCCGTTCTGGTTAATAATAATCACATAAAGACTTTTAAAACTTAAACCGTAAAATAATTATTGCTTTAAGTGTGGCAAAAATCAGGAATGAATATTTTAGATTAATATAGTAACTTCAATATGAATCTTTATAAATTTTATAAAAATCTATTTTATGTTTGTTATCTCTCTCTTCCTTTCCCTCATAGATGTAGAGAAATAAAATTATTAAAATATATAAAATAAACGACACGGTTGCCTGAATAAAAAGTCACGTCCTTCTACCGTGCCTAAAATCCGTTCTGATTAATAATAATCATATAAAGGCTTTTAAAACTTAAACCGTAAAATAATTATTGCTTTAAGTGAGGCAAAAATCAGGAATAAATACTTTAGCTTAATATAATAACTTCAATATAAATCTCTTTATAAATTTTATAAAAATCTATTATATTTTTGTTGTCTCTCTCTCCCTCTCTCCCTCATAAATGTAGAAATAAAATTATTAAAATATATACAACAAACGATAATAAATGTTTCGTGATTATATGCCATTGGATATTAATAATTTGAGATCAACGATGTCACGCTTGGCGATCGTTTGACTGAAAGAGCAGTTCACGCTTCTACGCTTAATCAAGCAATTAGGCGATCAACGGGGTTCATCTCATACGGTCCTAAACCTCTCCATGGCAGGTCACGGCTCTCGACGAAGTCGTCGTTTCTCCGCATGCTATCTTTGGCACGCGCCGCTCCGACGTGGACACATTCGAATCATCCCGAAATTCCACCTCGCAAGTCTCGTCACTTTCACAACGTGAAATTTCACGTCCGCAAAAAGCATTGTCTAATTTTAAAGTCAACAAATTTAAAAAAAAGAAACAATTCACTATTAAGTGTTAATTCTTTAACATTTCTTTGTATATCATCTAGATCTAGTTATAAATATGATACAATCGAATATTAATGCAAATATTGAAGTTGGATATTATTGTCAATTGTTGAGACACAAATAAAATTTGTATAATTAAGAGACAAAGGAAAATGCATAGTACATAAACGTGTAGTATAGATCACTGGAAATATACACGGAAGCAAGATGGCATGCGGAAAAGTCGATAACTGACGGTTTATTATTTTTTTTTCCAAGAAACCTGACTCTATCTATTCTTCATTTATTTTTCATTCTTTCGGTAATTTATTCTTCATTTATTTTCGGTTCATTCTTTCGGTAATCTATTCTTCATTTATTTTTCATTCTTTTGACTAATATAAAGCACGGATTTGTAAAAATTCAATTGCACGAAAAGACGTAAAATCGTGTAGAATATAACAGAATTCTGTACAAACAAAAAAATACGCATTGGACTAATTAAATTGTTGCTAAAAAATATAACTGAAAGATATGAAACAGAAAAATTTTTAAATCTCTTAATTCAAAGCAATTTATGTTTGCAGAGTTTCTCGTTTGCAGAATCAACATATTACGAATTTTTAATATAATATATTCATAAGAACTTTGCAACGGCTCGGAAAAATCTCCATAATGAAAAATACATAACATGCGATAGAAAAACTGTGGCTTCACGAGCACTGTGCATTCGCATTCGTTATTTGCGAACGTTTTACGTCGCAGAATTGCGGTCGCGGAATCGCGCGGCCATTGGAATCGCAATTTAGAGTGATTTTCTAATAGAGAAAAATCACGCATGGTACACATCCTCGACGTACGCACGTGCGTCGAGGAAAAAAGAGAAAGAGAGAGAGAGAGAGAACAAATTGCGAAAATTTCATGAAACGAATCGCGCAGTGCGATGAATCCCCAAGGTGATCTTGCGTAGACTATTTTCCGGACTCACTCGTCAAATTTAATTAATCTCGATTAATTTCGATTGATAAATCCCGCAGCGTAAACCGTACTGTTTCACTGTGCCACTGTGTCACCAGCTTTATCACCGTGTAACCGTTGCTTATCACCGCATCATCGGGATGCAGCGATCGCGAGACTCGACACTACCGCTGCATCCGATCGGCTGCATTCGATACGACGTAAAAGAGAGGGAGAAGAGAACGAGGGAAAAAAAGGAGACTGAGAGGAGAGAGAAAGAGAGCAGATGACGAGGAGGAGAAACGAACAGATCGACGATAGAGGGGAACGACGGGAGAAAGAGAGAGAAAGAGCGCGCGCGATTATTCGCCGATGCAGCCGACAGCACGACTGGCGGCGGCGGCCTCACCGCACCTCTGCACATCCACCCACGCTATATCGATCTCTCCCCGTCCTCCGGACACCGCGCTGCGCCGCGTCTCACCTCACCGCACCTCTCGTCTGGTGAACCCGTGCGTGAACCAGGAGCGCAGCGTGGCGTCGCGTCGGTGCCGGGCGCTGGTGTCCGCGATTTGGCGAGGCTGGCATTGGTGGTGGTGATGCTAGTGATGGTGCCGGTGGTGGTGGTGATGCAGGGCTATAAGTCGAGCTCTCTCGGGTGTACGATTGTATCCAATGCGCGCGCGCGTAGATGCATATGAATGGAAGCTGGGATGTGTATACGTGAGAGGACCACTGTAATAGTACCTACGGACAGGTAAGTGTAGGTCTAGATGTGTAGAATGTCGAACAGATATGCGCACTATGTCCACGGATTCTTCGACGAGTTTGGAATCGATTCTTTTTTTAGGCTTTGCTCTTCTCTATGTGAACAATTTTTATAGCTATCCCTGATTTTAGCGAAGCTCTCTAGCTTCTCCCAGTCTTATTTACAATAGTGGGATGAAAGAGAAATCTAAATTAAAATCTGACGAGTTTCTCGGCTTCAGTGAGTCGACTTTTGAGATAAATACTGCAAATTATGCGCGACGAAATTGCTCGGGAATTTGTTATGTACCGGTGGATTTTCACGGGGACGGAATCCGCCGCAGCACGATGGTTTGCATTAGCAATTAGAAACCTTGCGCGATGTATATGCGAATTACGTAGCGTGTTTCACTAAGTAGCAATGCCTGTAAACTGGGAGTGCATAATCGCCCAACCGATCGCGCGTTGTATCGCTTGGAAGATTAGAATCGGAAATATCGAGATGGTCTCGAACAAGAGAGAAAGACTCGACCGGTTCTCTCGGTGCTTTCTTCTCTTCTTGTTTCGCCATTTTACATGCGGACGAATTGCATAAGAATCCAACGTGAGGTTTTAGGATACAACGCGAAAGATAAAACGCTTTATCGCGATCGAGGATTCGTAAATAAATTAGTCATATATGCGAAACGTCAAACGTAATTTTCACTTGAAATGACTTGGAGTAAAATGTATGTTGTCGTTTACTCCAAAGAAAATTTATCTATAATAAATTCACTTTTAGTACGACACATCATTACCATTTTTATCTAGGTTGATTATAGGAATATATATTTACGTAAACACGATAAATAAGAAAGCTAGAGAATTCAAGATTGACTTAGAGATATTTTTGCATTTTAATGAGAATTGTAAAAGTTCCGTCACGCAAAAGTCATTCAGAAGAATCTAAAGTAAATCGTTTATCGCGGAGTCTATTACACTTTGTGCTGACTCTTATCCGGAATTAAAAGTAAACAGACTGCAATCAACTTTACTTTTAGACGCTCACACGCAGCTTGAATTCTATTTATGACTGGCACCCCAAGATATGCGAATTGCATATTCGTATGTATCAATGTATGCATGCGCGTGTATATATGTGGTAAATCATCGGTCCTTCCTCCCCGTGTCGCAAACCATTCACGCTCACTCTTATCAACTGTCATCGCACGTGCTAATCTTTATCGTCCTCGTCCCGGAATTACTTTAAAGCTCTTTAGAAGTTAAAAGTATCCTTTAAAATATGACTCTAATCCGATATTGCGTTAAAGACAACAAGAAGTAAAATGACAGAAGCTTGATGCTTGGATTTTCTCTCTCCCTCTCTCTATCTCTCTCATGAAATTTTGGAGTAAAAGATATTGGAAATAAATATTGTTTCCGTCATTCGAATTAATTCCGACAAAATAGCTTGTAAAATTTTACACAGACCACTCTATCATCTTATAAAGAAGCTTTAAAAATTATGTTACGAAATATAATCATACACAGTCGTCCTATAATATTTATGTCTCATTGTTCGCCAGCTATTATTATATCTTTTTGACAAAGAAACTCTCTTGGAAAATTTACGTGCGAGCGAAACCGCTTGTAACATTGAAATAGCGATAGACAGAACAGCTCGTGTAATAGTTACACTGTACCATGAGCAAGCCTATAATCGTGGAGAACTGTCGTAAACAGTTTGGTAGCGCGGTGGTACCAGGCGACGGAGACACAAAGGGGGCCGAGAGAGAGAAAGGAACGTCACTTCCGGCCCATTAAGATCGTCAAGGGTCGCGCGAATCGTGCGCGGGAGGTTAATTATTCCGGGGGCAGTGTCTCTCATCTTCGACGCTTTTTCCATTTCCTTTTTAGGAATTTTGCGCGAACAACTTTATTTAGGAAAAGAGCGCGTTGAAAGATGATAAATATCTACAAAGTTTATTTATTTATATGGAAGATATTTTTTTTTAGATTTTTTTAGATGCTTTTTTTACAATTTTTAATTATTTTTAATGATTTTTGGTCCCTTTCTTTGATGACTGTCTAATAATTTTATAAATCTTGCTTTAGATATTTTTAGATGCTTTTTTTCTAATTTTTAATTATTTTTAATGATTTTTAGTCCCTCTCTTTAATGACTATCTAATAATTTTACAAATCTTGCTTCACGACAAAAGATCTTTCAAAATTCATTTAAAGCAAGATACATTTCTTTACGAGGTGATTGGTGATATTAATCATTCTTTTTTTATCTCTGATAATATTTCAATTTATAATGACTAATTTATTAATCTTTTATATATTTTAATATGGTCAGAAGAATTTTCGTAGCAAGATAATGAATCTTACCTGATTTGCGCATGGTAGGCGGGCGTGGTGTGCTCGGTGTGCGTGGTCAAAAGTTCTGCGGAATTGTTGGCCATATTTATCGGGTGTCCTGTCAAGTGTGTTATCGGCTCCAGTAAAAGAACGCCGGGCGTCGCCGGCGATGGTTGTGGACCTAACAACGAGACGCGTACTTTTTCTCTACCTTCGCTGGAATCACAAGAGAAGTGTGTTATTAGTATAAAAATATATACATATATATTATAATCAGTACAAAAGATATTTCATTTTTATTGTATCAAATACTCAAAATAATGGTTTTAATAATTAATATTGTATCAAATACTCAAGATAAAGGTTTTTAATAATTAATATCTCGTAAAAATGTTAATAAATAACGTGAAAGGCATCAATATTTATTTTTTCTAAAAACGCAACTTTCAAATAAATCGCTTTTTCGTGTTTTTTTTTAGATTACTATTTAACAATCATTTTTGCATACGAAACCGTAGGTCTCGGATGATAAAACGAAGGGTGCATTTCCTTACCACCCTTGCGCGAGTTGTGCAGAAAAAAATGAGAGCTGGGCGAAATTTAACGATTTAACTTCCGCTTTTGTCGCCACGCCTCCTCGCGTGTCCTATCCTTAGAAACGTGCAGTACCCTTCCTCGGAAACGCTCGCGGCGCACGCACATGTACAACTATCATGTGCAAGGCGGCTAATTTCTCACTGACTGGCTCCAAAGGATTAATATGTTATACTTAAACGTTAAATAAATTTTTTTGTAATTTTGATTAGAATCCTCGACGGAAGAAATTATTTTTACATAAACTATAAATTAAAATTATCTTACATCTTAATAAGTCTATTTTCTTATATTAGAATAATCGAGCTAAGAATTATTTTTTCCTGACTAATTTTTCAATATTATTTTTTTCAAGATGTATAATTTGCATATATTGCTATATTATCAATTAAATGAATCAAAAATTTTTGAACTTTAAATTATTTTTATAGAGAAATGAATAAAATTTAAATAAGGTTTATTATAAAAAATAAGTATTCATTTTATTTGCTGGTAAAGTGAAAATATAAATTACCAAACACGCTTATAGATAAACCGATTTTCAGTAAAAAATCCAACAGAAAATTAGCGCACTCTGACTTAGGATAAAGTCTACACTTGTTTTTAAAAAAATGTCAAATTAATGAAATAAAAAATGTATGAAATAAAAAATGTATTAATGAAATAAAAAAATCCAGATAAATTGTTAAAATCCCTGATTTTTTCCTGACATTTCCAAAATTATGAAATCCCCTGACAATTCCCGGTTTTTCAGATTTCCCTGATCGCTAGACACCCTGTATGAGAATTTCGATCATATACATGAAATGATATATACTTCAATTCTGCTTCATTCCGCCCGAAGGCGGTGTGTCTGGTCGGCGAGCGACGAAATGCAAGTCGGTCGTCTGATTGCTCGTTTGTCGCTTACATAACTTTCCGACGACGTCATTCACGTTACGATGCAACGTCGTCGGAGATGTAATACATAATAATACGTGGGATGTACCGAAACGGCGACAAATGGATTCGCTGCGCAGAGTCGAAAACTCATCTCAACTTTAACTATCCGTCATTTTCGAAGTAACCATAAATGTCAAAAAAGTCATTTAAAATGTGGCTTGAATTAATCGTAATTCTGTCATATTCAACAAAACGCATAATTCAATTTAATGTAAAATCCAGCTGCTTTATTGTAGTTTTATCTCTTCTTTCTTTTTTTTCACAATACATTAAAGTTTATGGAACAGTAAACATCTGCGACATGAATGGAAAAATGAAGGGAATATCGCATAATGAGATACACAAAACATTCATTCCCCTACGTCTCATGCTGCGGTGATATAATTCAAAGATATTGATTTTGCATATATTTAGTTTGTTCAATTTTGAGATATTTTCCCTTATAATTTATTAATGCGTTACTATAGATATATTGATCAATGTTGAAGTAAATTTCGGGAAAATTGACGAAATTCTTCAATTTAAATACTCCTACGGTCTCTCGGAATTAAGTGTGTCTTCGCAGCGCAAACAAGAAGGTTAATCTGCAATAATTACGAAAGTTAACCCGGCCATTGGCTTAATCGCAGTAAACCAGAGCAAAACTTGATCTCGTCGCGTACAGTAACTCAAATATATTTTCATACAAGCAATATTTTTGTTACGTAAATGATCGGAAAGTACATTATTCGGCACTGAATCGATTCGATTGTGCACACGACGAGATTAATCGAACGGTATCAACGGAAATGCAAACGGGAATAACGACTCTACGTAATTTACGAGTAACATCGTCGTTTCCCCTCGGGATTCGTTATCATCCATTTTCATTTTTGCGGAAATCTCCATACACGTGTTGCGCACAAGTGGCATTCCGCCAACACGCGTACAGACTGCCAACTATCGGGAGCGTATATCGGGGGTGGTGGTTTTGTTACAAATTTTTAAAACAGCTCGCTTCGCGTAATTCGCGCAATAAGCAATCGGTGGACGAGAACTCTCCCTGAAAAGAGTAATATCCAAAGTGCACTTTCTATCTTCATCCCTGGACAGCTAAAATGAATGGCGTTCTTTATTATTGCGAACGATTCACGTGCTGCAAAGTTCTACGAAGCAAATTAAAACGTTGAAGAGATAGGGAAAATATTTTTTGAAATTATAAATATGCAAATCAAGAGGTTCAGAATTAAAAGTTTAATAATTAAAAATTTTATACACACTCTAAATTTCGAATTTAAGTTAAAAATAAAAATCCAAATATTTAAGAGGATGGTTTATGTTGTCCTTATTTAAGTTATTAAAGTATTTTCTAATAATTTAATCTTGTGCGGCTACAATTATACTTATAAAAATTATGTTTGCAGCATATGAGAGAATCGGTGAGAAATTTATGCGCGATATATATAGTACATGCGCAGCGAAAGGGTTAAGCAGTAATACATTCGTAATGCATTTTCGTTCGCCTTGACACTTCTATGAAACTTGCATGAGCGGCCCAATGCAATTACAACGAGCGTCTCCCTGTAGGCATATACCTTTCGTCTAAACGTTGGGAACATCGTTTAGGGAAATAACACCCCGAGGATAAAATGATGGAAATATAGAGCATACCACTTCGTACCATCGTGTCTTCGCTTTGATTTATAGAGATAGTGGTTCTTCCGAATATATAAAGTAAAAAAAAAATAATAATTAAGTAAAGATAAAGGAGCAAATCTACTCCGAATATTTCTCGAAATATTATTCTGTCTAATTTTCAGATCAATACGGTAAATTATGTCATTTTACGTTATCTGCCTGCGGCTGATAGATTCAAGACACACTGTATAACTTCATCCATCTATCGCCGTACGCTCGTGAAAATTCGATTCATATCCTCAGGGGAACTATATCATCAATTTCAGAAGATGGAGGCCCAGGAAAGCGAATGTATACGGAAAATGATCTCGAGGAGAAGAGAAATTGGCTATTCCTTCAAGGGTTAAACGCAAGAGTTATATCGATATACGATGGTGTACGATCGTACTTGAAGAACGTACAGATATTTGAGTCAGAGTGCATTTTAGCGGGAAAAATATCACGAGTAAATTGCAGTGTAAGTATAAATAAAGACGTGGAGTTTATACTATGGTTCAGAAACATCATGCAAACATCAAATTTAAAAATAATATAAATGTCATTTATAATTCGAGGAATTGTAGAGAATACATATAAATTTCCGGTTTTGTCTTTTAATAAAAAAGAATGTTTTTGCTATTTAAATATCTTGAGCAAAGACCATGAACGATCATCGTCCAGTGCGCGAACGATAATAACATTCCAACGCGAATGCGATGTGATGAGTCATTATATCGATAAAAATTGCGTGTTCAGCTGGGAATATAATTAACGAAGTATTTATTCTGCTCGATAAATGGGCCGCCACAGCAATCACATACACACACACACATCCGATAAGCTACTGGTTGTTTGGTTGCGTCGAGCGTGTTAACCTTCATCCGCTTCTCGCTAGCGAGATTCGAATTCATTGCTTTGATAGGAGAGAAAAAGAGGGTTACTCATGATATTATTGTAATTTATATCGAGATATGTCGAAGGTACGCGATACAAGCACTCATGCTCGATTTTATTGCGCAAGTGTTCGAATGCGAATTCGAATTAATGCGATTCGCATTGAGAGCTTGAACGGCATATAATCTATTTTTATCGGAAAAATGTCGATTGCCTGTTTTAATTTAAAAACATATTTTCTCACTTTTTTGCATTCAGGTGGACTTGTATTGAGAGAAACGACTGCGTATTGTAATTTTGCCGATCGATGTAGGTCGCGAGAACGCTTTCGAACGTACGTGGATCGTCGGGTATCCTCCGAAAAAGGGATAACGATCGCTCGAATCGAGGACTCGCTCGTCGGAATGCGCATCGAGGGAGTCATGATCTTGCGCAACGTCCTGCCTGGTCGCGCGTAATCGACCAAAACGAGTCGATGTGGATCGTAGCCGAGAGAGGGACCGAAAACACGAACGAGCTGGACCAGACTCGGAACCGGTTCCCGGCCGTGGTCGCCGGCCGTGGAATCGATCCTGCGCGTCGATAACGATTCCTTCTAACGTGCAAGGAAAGTACGCGCGACGAGCCATTCCACTCGTGGAATGTGTACTCTTCGATGAGTTGTCATCCCGAGTTATGATCTTTGACAAGCCTTCGCGAGAGGGCTGGATAAAAAGTAAATATGAAGGAGGATTCGAGGATTTATCCAAGGATTTGAAATCCAAATCCTTAGATTTTTTTTAGCATCTAAATATGTCAAGACTAGATAGGTTAAATTGAAGATCTACATGACAAATCCTATTCTGTTGTAAAATTTTAATGCAAGGTTTCTTTGAATTTTTTTCTCTCTTAATTTTTAATAAATATAATCTTTATAAATAATTTGTAATTTCTAATTTCTAATCAATTTTATTCGATATATTTTATATTTTATATACTATGTATCTATTATTGAATTTCAAGGTTCTCGACAGTTTAAAGTCTCACTCAATTGAGTTGTAGAACTCTATTGCATAAGTAATAGTTACTTGAAAAAACAGTTTGTATAATTCACAAGCAAATATGCGCTATTGTTGTTTACGCATTGACGC